TCTCAGTAGCTTAAAAAGTGTATTTGGTGTTGATGATATTTAAAATATATACGTGAAGTGTTCTAGATGGCGAATTAATATCGAAGATTGCTTTTTAATATATTACTTTAAGGCTAAATAAATTAATTTATAAAATAAAGATCAAGACTGCTAAATGAGTTTCTTAGGCAAAGAAAAAATATACTGTGATACATTTTGAAATAGATTTTGCACTTTTTCTATATTTTGAGTATAATTTGCAGCAATCGCATTTAATTGTAAATATCATTATATTTAATATATCAATAATAATAATAATAACAGTAATAATATTAATAGATAATACTACTTAGTAATTTATATACAAACCAATATTATGTCGTAGTGTGCCTTCGTAGCTTAGCTCAGATAAAAGGGTGGTGTATAGTCAAACATTCAGAACTAAATTTCGCATCATTTAAACATGCAATGTCTAGTGTGAAAGTATACTATGTCATAAATTGACTTTAATACCTATTTCTTCATATGTATATCCATTTCAATGTCTCCTTTGTTAACTCTTTTGCCTTTTTCAAGCAGCTTTTTTTCTTTGAATAACTTGGATAATTCTCTTTCGATTTCAAGAATTAAATCATCATAACCACAAGTCTTTGATCTGACCCTCGCTTCACGTAACAACCTTTCCGCTTTTTCATATTGTGCTAAGTGTAAATTGACTACTCCCAACCCATAAGTTGCTAATGCCACAGTCTCGTTTATGGTGTTATTATTTGATATTATTTCTTGAGGGAGGTTTTTAGCAAACTCGAGCACCGATTCGTACGACTTTATTGATAGTTCTATGCACTTTTCCTTATTCTGGATTATCAGCAGATATTCATTACGTTGTTGTTCTTTTATTGTCTTATCCAACTTCTCCAATACATCAGTATCTTTTAAAGCCTCTTGAGAAGAATTCTTATACTCGTCAAAGTCAAAGCCAGAATCCTCAAAGAATTTTCTTCTGTACGCTACTTCCTTCGACTCGTACTCCTCTGCTTGTAAATAAAGCAATGAAGCTAAGTTGCATTGGGATAACAATACTTTATGTGGTTCGACATCGGCGAGAAGCATCCATTCCGTCATAGATATCTTTACTTTGGATGCCATAGCGAGGTCTCCTGTGGAAATACAAATAGCAGTCAACAAGTCCATAGCATTGAAAAACTCGTCTACAAATGGTTCCCACGCAGAAGGGTTCTTATTAATAGTAGTGGTAATGCCATCATTACTTATCTCAATTGAAGTGCTATCTATTGTAGCCTTATAATCAGATCCGGATGTACTGGGGGTCAACCGTGAGATGTTCCCGTTTGGTCCCAACTTCTTGTGTACCTCATCCTGAGCAATTAATAAATGGGTCATCAAGATTGCCTTGGACAACTGAGCATTAGATTTATTCAACTCCACCAATTTAATTGCCAAACGCAAATCCTTTTGGATCAAATGAGCCCGGTGGTCTCTTGACTTGATCCGCTTTCCATCTTCTGAATTTGGAGCTGCCGTCAATACTTTCAAATAGAGTGTGGCAATTTCATTATACACGAATGCCGCATCCTCCAACATGTCTAGCCGTTCAAACATTTCTCCTACTTTCAATTGAATCCCTGTATATTCATCACTCAACGTATCTAACTCAATTTCGTGACAATGATCAATGGCTTCGAGATAGTATTTCAATGCCAATTGGTAATCATTTTCTCCACGATCGGATTCAGCCCACAAACCCTTACGCAATATTTTGGCGACAGAAGATGGGAATGTATGCTTAGGCCACCAGAAGTAATAAATGTATGATCCAATTCCAGCGACTCCAATCCCCGTATATAAAATACGCTTCGTCCATGATGCTCTTGGAGGCTGATATTGCTGATATTGCTGGTATTGGTAGTTGTATTGACCGTAGCTACGCAAACACCTGGGAAGTCTAGTCCTTAACAATCTGCCGTTGACTCTGTTCATGCTTGTTTAAAAGAAGCACTTTAAAATCACCAATGATAGCATTTTTCATATTGGTGCGACCGTATTTGTCCCAACCTCGACCCATTTTGCTACTTTTTCGCCCCAATATACATCCTACGCCTTCAATATCAACCTACAAGGCATCGATATGTCCAACATATTATCAGTCTTCAACCCACCACCAGCCAGGGCCATCCCATATGAATCGTGCTTGCCATGCACTGCTATCCAGTCGCTCATGTCGTTCGCAGGTGGCCTCTACCTCAACCTGAACTCACTTTTTAAGGATCTGAAGGGAAAAATCAATCTCCACAAGAACCCGATCTGGTGGCAAAACTCCGTCAAGTCCCTTGGTATCTTGTTGATAGGTCTAGGTGCTTATAGGGCAGGCGAAGTAGGCCTTATGGTGTGGAACCGTAAACGGAACTAACTTCATGGATGTGCACACAGATTGTCTCCCAGTTTCACCCTGATTCACCCACCATATCTATATCAATGTTGCATCTACACATATATACCCTAATTCCACCTAATATACCGCTATATCATTGTTTATACCACCTGGTTCCTTAATATTTATGTCCCGAATTTGGGACATATATATTTATGTCCCCATCGCAGCACGCTCCATCGCCAAACATGTCAAAACCTTCATTCAAAATCCCTGTATTCGATTCACCTTCAGGTAAAACACCTTGCGCGATGCTGACATGTCATTATTCACCCATTCCTACCTTTGACACCCTTATTTACGGTGGACGATATCGTATTGTTAGAGTGGCAATGTTGCTGTGATGTCGTGCACCAGTTACCAATAATTATTTATATAAAAACAAACTCGAGAACCACTTTTATGGAAATTTGTAGTCAAATATAGGTAGTTTATATGAAGCAAGATAAACGACCATAACCGTAAGTTCAAGTTCATAACCAAAAGTCAGAATTGCAAAAATATTGGCGTCTATATACGTGCATGAAAGATATATAATAGTATGGAGCAACAGTTTTTGAGTGTTGATTCACTGTTGGATCCCCAGTTGCATAATAATATACAACAAGGCAGGATGATGAATAATAATATGGGCAATAATAATGGAAATATTGTCAGCGGCAGTAACAACAATACCATCGATAATAGTGGTAGGGACAGTGCCAGCATAACGGTAGGACAAGTAGGACCGCAAGGTGGAGATAGCAACAACCATAGGGTAGGCCATGGAGATGGCAGTAATGGTGTAAACGGTAGGGATGTGAAGAACGAGGAGTTTGAGTTGTCGAACCCATCGAACCCAGCTATTGCGACGGCGCAAGCCATGTTGAACCACGATGCAGGCTATCCGGGGCAATATCTGCTAAATGGCATGCAGGGTGGCCAGATACCAAGCAATAGTATTCCAAATAACCAGATCCAAACGGGCCTGATTCCGGGTGGTCAGTTAGTCAGCACACCAATGGCTGGAAACCAGCTAGCTAATAGTCAGATACAAGGGAATATGCAGAGCAACCTCCACATGCCCCAGCAGATTTCGCAGTTGCCGGTACAGCAGCATGAAGTGGAGGATGGCAAGTTGATGGCACCTATACCACCGTTACATATCCAACAACAGATTGTGAATAATCAGAATATTGACGAGTCGCCTGTCAAGCCTAGTGCTCAGTTAGTGGGTGGGAATGTGGAGCAAATGTTGAGGTCGTCATGCACTAGGTGCAAAAAAGAGTTTGACCAACCCATAATAATACCTCAATCGAATGATAATACACAAGGTCCTAAGCCATTGGCAGAACCTAAGATCTACAAGCTATGCCAGCATTGTAGAGATTTACAAAGGAAAAGGTCTCGTCGTTGGCAAAAGAAAACAAAAGATAAATCGGGTGCATGCCGTCGGTGCGGGCTGGAGATTCCTGCCGATCAGCAGAAATTCGTATTATGTCCCTCATGTCGAGAGAATTTAAGGACTAGAAAAGCTAACCGGGCGGCTCAAGGGAAATGTGTGCATTGCTCGGGCCCTCTAGACGCTTCAATCATCACCGGTGATGATAAGTCAGCTAAGTTAAAGGATAGAGTTAAGTCTGGAAATTTCAAAGTTTGCCAGCGGTGTAGAGAAAACGATAAAATCAGAAGAACAAACTTGGAGAGGCGAGGCCATTGTAACAGGTGTGCTAAGTCTTTGGACCCTGCTGACATTGGTAAGCATAAAGTTTGTGTAAATTGCCGTACCAGAAAGAAAAGATCAAACAACAGTGAGACGTCGACAGAAATTCCCCTTATTAGTAATAGTGTTTCTATGATACCTAACGACCAAGCTACTATGGCCATGTTGTCGACTACAGGTAATTTTGTTCCTCAAGCTCAACACCAAATGTCTCAACAGTATACCCCTCTGCAATACGTTCAGGTGCCTGCTCAAAGTCAAGTTCAATCCCACGCGCAAGTACAAGCACAGCAACAATATAACCAGGCTATTGCCCAACAGCAGGCTTTTAACCAAGCAATGGCTCAGGCTCAAGCCCAAGCTCAGGTTCAAAATCAAGTACAAAATCAACAGCACCTGCAACAACAACATCGTCAACAACATCAGCAATTACAGCAGCAGCAGCAACTTCAGCAGCAACTGCAACAATACACTCAACAACATCATCAGCAGGAAGCGAATAGGGCTGCAGTTGAATTTCAAAATGCTATGGCCGCAGCAGTTGCTCATCAGCCTCATATGCCTTCTGGTAACGGAAATTAAAAAAATGTTTTTTTTCAATTGATTGTGTTATGATTACTACGATTGTACTACTAGGTTTATCTATTTATTTATTTCAGTATATTTCTAATTGTATCAATATTGAAGCAAGCTTATTTATTGTTGTGTATATAAATAATCCTTCGAGAATATCATGTAGTGCGGATCTAAGTGTAATTTCATTCCATCAATAGGAACATTACTAGACTTGACCGTCATTTTTACTATCATTTTGTAAGTTTAACAAGAGAGTTTAATCGCATTTTAGGAGATTGTTGATCATAATTAGAGGGTATAATAAACTGGCTTCAAAATGTTTCGATTGAACAATGATTCCCTGACTTCAGTAGGATCAAATAAAGACAAGAAGTTACCCCCAATTCCTAATTCACAGGTACCAGAAGCAGATACAACCAATGCTATACCAATGGACGATCAGATTTTACAATCCAAGACATTGAAGCGTAAAAATTTCAAGAAATTGTCTTTAGACTCACCATCAACAACACCTACACCATCAGCATCACAACCAGAAAATACACCCCTAGATATGGGATTACGATACCCTCCTAGCTCTAAGCCGGGTAGAGTAAGGCCGGCCCCGTTGACGAATTTAAACAGGAACTCGCAGGGTAAATTAAATATTAATCAAAGTAATAGAAACATTGACCCAGATACTCAATCATCTACAGATGTTATTATAAATCATTTTTCGAATCTCGAATTATCAAATATGAATAAGAGAAACCCCACGATTGCGAACCGAAAAAGACAAACAGTTATTTCGTCCATATCTCCAACGAAGTCTAGTGCATCATCACCAAACGATGCAAATTTGAATTCTCTAAACTTAACAGACCAACAATCGCCTATCGCAACGACATCCTCTATAAAGTTGAATAACAATGACTTGTTGACATTGAAGAATTTGGGTTCCGGAAATTCAGGGACTGTTTCGAAGATTCTTCATATTCCAACTCAGAAAACTATGGCCAAAAAAATAATACATATAGATCTGAAAAGTGTTATTCAGACTCAGATAATAAGAGAATTACGGATTTTGCACGAATGCCAATCGCCATTTATTATTGAATTCTACGGAGCTTTTATTAATAATAACAATACAATAGTGATTTGCATGGAATACTGTAATTGTGGGTCTTTGGATAAAATTTTACCGCTTTGCCAGAATAATCAATTTCCCTTATTTGTGTTAAAGAAATTGTCCTATGCAATTCTATCGGGATTGACATATCTCTATTCTACGCATAAAATCATACATCGGGATATTAAACCAAGTAATGTTCTAATGAACCATAAGGGTGAATTTAAATTATGTGATTTCGGAGTCCTGAGAGAATTGACTAATTCGCTTGCAATGGCAGACACTTTTGTGGGAACATCAACCTATATGTCACCAGAAAGAATACAAGGTTTGACTTATGGGGTAAAGTCGGATGTTTGGTCTATGGGTTTAATGTTGATTGAATTGGCAAGAGGGATCCCAGTTTGGGTAGATGAGGGTGAGGAAGAGGGTCCGCAAGGCCCGGAGGGTATTTTAGATTTGTTACAAAGAATCGTCAACGAGGCCCCTCCTTCCTTAGTCAATAAGATAAACCCAACCACAAATCAACCCTTTGATGATCTATTGAGTAAATTTATCGATTCCTGTCTAATTAAAGATGACAATTTGCGGAAATCTCCTTGGGATTTATTAAATGAACCACAGGGATTTTTAACTGGTGTTGATAAAGGACTTTACGATAAAGATGTTAAGGCGTGGGCCAAAGGGATAAGAAAATTGCATAAGGAAAAGAATGAGAGTTAGAACAAAGCATTGTCATATACGTGTATATAGATATGGATGTATATATTTATAACAATATCGCATGTTATATTATTTTATGTTTAATTTTTGAAGAAGTTCATACGTAATTCTGGTATTTATTAAACCTATGTAAAAAATCAGAACTGTAATCTATACACCAGCAAATAATCAATACCAGAAAGATAGCATTGCCTGGTATGTATTCTGAATTGCAAACATTAATAGTAGCAATACCTGGAATTGTATATATGATCCATTTTTACTTGAGGAAAGCAGAATTAGTTAATTCAAGTTCCAATTCGAAATCAGGTTGGAATTCAGCATATAAAGATTCCGGGTCTCCTGTCATATGTCGAGTATAGGTCGCAACTTCGTCATTAATGATCTGTTTCTTGTAACCTCCAGCACTTGCAGCATCAGCTAACAATTGCGCGTGACAAGAGTCTTCCATTAAAATGAAAAGAAATGCTGCCTCATCAACAGTCTTCCCAACGCTAAGAAGTCCGTGATTTTGCAAAATCACACCAAGCCCATCGGGACCAAGCGCTTCTGCGATTTCTTCTCCTTCTCTTTCGTCTAAAGCCACTCCACCGAAGTTACTGAATACAGAGTGCCTTTGATAAAGGATACACACATCCTGGTTGATCATTTCCAACTCCTTTCCGAATGTCAGGTATGTCTTACCATGAATCAGGTGCGTATGGCAAGCCGACACAATATCTGGACGAGCTTTGTGAATAGCCGCATGGATTGAAAAACCCGCTGCATTCACCGCCGCTTGGTTTCCCTCTTCCAAAACATTACATTCCAAATCTATATGAACCAAATCACTGGACTTCATCAACGAAAAGTGCTTATTCAATGGATTAATCCAAAATGTTCCTGGGGTAACGGGATCCTTAATGGAGATATGCCCAGCCGAGCCCTCTGAGTAGCCCTTACGTCCAAATACTCGGAATGCTCCTGCCATATGTTCCAACATCCATTTTCTCTTATCGTATGGATTTTCAAACTGGGGTAACTTGTGTGGATGTTCCATTCCTTTGGCCAAGTTGTGTGAGCCTTCCTCACCCATCGCATAATGTTTTCCGGTTGCTTCAACAGGTTTCTCTACTGAAGTTGGTGACATGATACAAATATTATTAATTTTAGAGCTAATAATCAGTATTTTAATAAACTAAGTTGCTTCAAGAAAAATAAAATATTAAGCTAGATGGATTGCGGTGCTATTTATACTCTGGGGATTTTTTCGTGATAAGATGGAGAACGCTCTCACTTACTTTATAGAGCTCATCTATCCGAAGATAAAAGAGTCATTAAGCGAGGGATCATACTAATGAAGATATATGCGGCAATTCAAACAGGAGACATTAATAGTAAATATATAGTTATAAGGCAACATAATTAATAGAAACAGTATACTCATAAATAATGTTGTATATTGTAATGTGTACATAACAAATTGACCAATACGAAAGGTTGCGATTGTAATATGAAATCAAATATTAAACGAAAACCTACAATAAATTTGGGTGGAAAAAATAAAGAAGTTACTAGACTTGGTTCGCAACATCATCCTCATATGAGTCCAGGGTTTCATTTTTTTCGTGCTCAGATTGGAGCAGTCGATTAGTTGGAGCTAATTTGGCCGACTGTGCAGCATATCCATATTTGGACTGAGCTCTCAACCTGGCACCATATTTTTCGAAGAGAAAAGGAACAGGAACCATTACTAACGCAACAAAGCCAAATAAGGATGAAGCCCAGCCGATGTTAAGCCGGTGGTACATTTGGGTGACGGATAGTGGAAAGACGGAGGCCATTATATATCGCAATAGGTTATTTGCAGCAATCGCGGAAGCAACAGAAATAGGAGGGAACGCCATAGAGAAGTAAAAGATTACCGAAATGAAAATGGTTATCATGCCAAACCCAAAAGGGATCCCAGCAGCGGTGGGAGCCATCCAGTGGATAGAACCAGTTCTCCCTGTCCAGCCTAACCAGAAAAGAGATATAGGAAGGCAAAATGCTCCAACTTTAGCTGGTAGTAGTTTAGTTTCAGGAGCTGAAAGAATCAACTTCCCATTTTCATCTCGTTTTCCCCGAGTACCATCTTGGTTCCTAGGATTATAGACAAATTTGTCCATTAAGACGAAGAAAGTGACACCTATAAGTAATCCGACACCTGAACCAATAAAGGGTAATCCTGAAACGCCTAAGTCCATATGATATACACCTTGAAAGATAACAGGTTATGCTTCAAAAAAACCAAACAATACTGCAAAAATAAACGATACGTAGATAGAAAAGACGCTCACAATTGGCTCTACAACCAACATCTCTATCGGACGGAATAACGCCGTTTTCGCCGTGTGTTTAAAGTATTGTTTGTCTATCGGTTGTTTGTTCAACTTGATACTTCTCTTTTCAGCTCTTCTTATCAAAATGATGGGTTTATAAGTTTCTGGAAGACACACTGATAGCGGAAGAACTGCACCAGAAATTATTAAAGAAACCCACATCGTCCATCTCCAACCCTTGTGTTCAGCCGCAAACCCCCCGATCATGGGTCCAAGAACAGGGCCGAGAAAAGGAGCTAAACAAAAGGTAGCCATCGCTGTACCAATTTCTGATGGGTCATAAAGGTCACTAATCGACCCACCTGCAACAGCTAATGCAGGTGAAGCAATTAAGCCACAGAAAAACCTCAAAATAAGTATAGAATAGATATTTTGACATAAACCGATACCCATCGTAAATAGCATGGAAATAGGTAATGAGAATACATATATCCATCTACGACCAATAATTTCAGATAGCGGTGCAGCAACAGCGGGACCAAACGCCAACCCTAGCAAATAGAATGTTAAGCCAGAAATACAAAGCACTTGTGAAGCTCCAAATGCTCTGACCAATTCCGGCACACCAGAGACATACAATGAGCTACCAAGAGTAACACATAAACATATGAGTGCCACAGTATATGTTGCATACAATTTTTTCCATTTTGGCCAATTTTGTGGGTTATCCTTATCATCTGATGTATCCCAGTCTAACTTATCGGCATCTATAGTGCCATATTTCGCACTTGTTAAATCAGATTCTAAAGATGGATCAGAAGATGAACTGCAGCCATGATCACTATTATAAATGTCCCGGGAAAACTGAGTATTAGAAACTGGAACACGGCTGTGTATCTCTGTATTATATTCAGTACCATCTCCGTGGTTTCGATCGTTAGCCTCACTTTCATCTAAGGAAAGATTATCTTTTTTATCTCCATCATTTTCGTTTCGCAATACATCCCTGGATCCATTATAACTATCTTCATCGCGAGGAATGTACCTAGATCTAGGGATTAAAGCATTATCAGGTTCTTGCTCATTAGGCACAAAATGAGACTCAGTGACATTATCGGCCTGACTACCAAACCTCCTCCCATTGATAGATACGTTCATTGAGATTAAATTTTCTATGGTATATTCCAAAATGTCTTATAGTTCGTGCTTTCCTAATCTTGTATGGATAATTGATACCTATATATTTAGATGAAGGATTACAAATCAAATCGGATGCCATAAACCTTGTTTTTTGCTGCAGCTTTCAAAATAAACTTTGCTACCAATCACAAGCAAGTACTCTCGATTTAATATTAATAATTCCACAGCCAGTGTTGTAACTTACCAAATGATATTAAATCAATCTAATCAATCTTTATCTATTTTAATAAAATTATTAGGTGCACTAGCGCCATGTCCGTTCTTCTTTTTCGGTAATATACGTTAAATATA